CATGACTCATGGCTTCATTTAATTTCTTGAGTGGGTAGAGGTCTCTTTCTCTCTCTCTTTAAAAAAAACCAACCAAACAACAAAACAGGAAGTATCTTTGGTTAAAGAAAAAAACAGGTTTATCATCCTTCAAGTTTGCAAACGGAATTGCCTTCAAAACAAACTACAAGACATCATCCCTTAAAAGTATAAAAAAGGAAAAATGTCACAGACGAAAGTGTCCCTTTCTTGGAATGTTTTACATGTCACAAAGAAACTACTAGAGAGAGCAAGAGAAAGAGAAAGAGAAAGAGAAAGAGAAAGAGACCTGCCAGGGCCCAGTTCTGCAGGTACAACTCTGCCTGGGGAGATGCAATTGCATTTGCTCTCTCAAGTGACTGAATTTGGCCCGGTTTGCAGCGAGAAGTGCTTCCATTTGAGTTTTCCATTCTGGTCATGATAGCAATTCTCTCTGCACCCTCCTGCATTCTGTTTTCACAGCAGGAACCTGAATATCCATGCCTGAGGAGAGGCAACGTCCGTGCTTCCTCTGCTTCCTGCGTAAGACTGCAAGATGAGATGATGGGAAAGGGGCCACTTTTTCACTGTGCCAGCCGCAAGCCACCCATAAAACTTCCAGTATCTAAACATTCACCTCCCCTCTCAAGTTTTCATGCCATTTACCCTACACACACAAAATACACCAACCCAACCACGTCAATCACATTTCCTCCCCAAAGGACTTGTGAGCAAAACAAGCCGGCTGTTACTATGTATCTGGCACAGACAGCATGCAAAGCTTCTGCTTCCTCTGCTAAAACAACTGCGTTTCCCGTGTGACTAACTGTACCACACTTTTTTCCATACTATACCTTTATACAGGTGTGCAGGAGGAGTTGTTGCTCATCTCCCCCATACCCATCAGAATATATGCCACATTGCACCATCAAAGCAATCTCATGGCTCTGAGGTGCACCTCTTGCAATCACAGTGTCCCATCACCACGATCTTCTGACCACCTACACCTGGCAGGGCAGCGGCTCCAGGATGGACAATGTGAAAGGTGGCTCCTCTGACAAACACTGCACCCCTTCTCCCTGCCAGCATCTGCTGTTCTAACAGCTCTGCTGCCAAAGGCCCCCCAAAATCACATTTGAGCCCACATGGGAGAGCAGGTCAGATGGTTACAGAGGAAAAATGCAAATACAAGTAGAACATTACTGTGATTGAGATTGCAACCTTCTACGCTTCACCAGTCCTAGGTCAGAGGAGCACATAAACAAGTAATTAATTTGAAGGACTTAAGTCTGTTCTTCAGCAAAGCACTCAAGTGCATGATTAACTTTAAGTCTTTGCTAAAATCCTATCTTTTTTTATCGAGTGTGAACTCAGTTACTGCTTTCCCCCATTCTAAAAGAGTAAGTGATGCAAATGAAAACATAAATACCTGAACTCTAGCAATCGGAATAGCTTAATAAAACTCCAAAACAAATAATTACAAAAGAATGGAAAACCTACATCAGGGACCCTATCTTTTTTTATCGAGTGTGAACTCAGTTACTGCTTTCCCCCATTCTAAAAGAGTAAGTGATGCAAATGAAAACATAAATACCTGAACTCTAGCAATCGGAATAGCTTAATAAAACTCCAAAACAAATAATTACAAAAGAATGGAAAATCTACATCAGGGACCAAAAAAAAAAAAAAAAAAAAAAGCCAATCTTCTGACTATGTGGACACCTGATTGACCTTCAGAGAGAGTGGAAGAGCAGAGGAGGAACCCTGCTCAGTCCGTGGCTGTGCTTTAGCCAGCTAACACTGTCCATGTACACCAGTGTCCTTTATCCAGTGATGGGACTGAGAGCCACATTCATGTCTCCTCTGATAGCCCTGTTTCTGGAGAGCCACCTGTCTGCTTTCTCCTTTAGGAAAACCAAACAATGCATAGCATGACCCTGGGTTAATCAAAACAGCCCAATGATCATGGCCTGGAGCACAAATAGGTCTTGACCTCTCTCTATAAACTTCCTATCAAACACACTGATGATGAGCTGGATCCCAGGTCAGCAAGGTCCTTACCTGCCTTTGATTCAGCTCTCCTAATACATCATTATGTTAGCTGCTGCTTGGCTTTGGTCTCTGAATGAATGTTTCTGGACTTATTCTGAAATGCAGATGTGACATGGAGCATAACTCCGGTCCTTTAAGGCTGTAACTGCACTCACAGAGTGGCCCCACTCCCCCTAGGTTAGAGGCAGTTTTTATCCTTGGGACAATCTCATTTCGTCTTCCTCCTGCAATTTTCACAAACACAGCAACCCTTCTGATGCCACTGATGAAGAGAAATAAAATTAACAATAAGAACAATACCAAGAGAAACAAAAAACCAACACAAATATTAAGGAATGTGTGTGCAATTAAAACCCAGAGTAAAATATAATAATAATAAAATAATAATCATAACAACCCTACAATAAAATAACATTATCTTTCCTTTCCATGACACAAGCAGCATGACGCTCTCACTCCCAAAGTGGTGGGAGAGAAGAGGAATGCAACAGAGAGAGCAGGGCTTAATTTTCCTGCCTCAGACAAAAGGGGGCATGCTTGTCTTTCCAAAGGAAGTGGGTAAGGTGCATAGGCTGCTGGGAGATCACATCCTCATCTACAGTGTATTGAGCTGGAATGAAGGACAGGCAGGAGAAGAAAACTGTGCAAAGGTAGCCCAAGAACCAGAGCTGGCAACCATGAAGGTTATTTGGTGGTTTGCCAGAAGACAACAGGCTTGTTGAACAGCCAAGGCATAGCGGGATCCCTTCTTCCAGGCCAGCCAAGCACTTACCGCAAGACAATATACTTGTGCTTGTCTTTCCATCAGCTTTTCCCATGTAAGAGAACCTCCTCCCCTACTGCCATCCAGGGAACTCATCCCTCACCACCCTGCTGCTGAACGTGCAATTTTCAAGCATTTTGTGAAATACCTGAATACTCCATGCAATAGTTACAGGGAAATGTAGAGTGGAACTGAGCTGCCACAAGACTTCAGCTTTCACAGCAACATGGAAATGTTCTATCATACGCTCTTCCCTCCTGCATCCCCAGGCCATCCACAGACATGGGTACACTCTAGAAACACTTCCAAATATTGATGCACAAGTGCAACTTCCATTACCAGTGAAACTCCCATCTGAACCAAACCCAGCTGAAAGAAAGGCTCTCTTTAGAAACCTGATGGAAAACATGATGACCACATAGGGATCCTTGGTGTCAAAGACCCACAGGACCACTGTGCTCTCTGGTTCCAGGGTCACTCCACTGCTGCAGGCAATCTTTTGGGACGTAGGTGAGAAGGGAGGAGGAGAAGTGCCCACTGTCACAGCTATGATAGAGTGGGTAAGGCCCAATGTATCCCAATAGTCTTTTCACTTAAGATACCTGAGTTTGAAGCTCTCAACTGGATTTTCTCTGGGACTCCAGCCCTTTCCTGACCCCTCTCCTCGACAGACATAGTGAGAGATGTTTGCAGCAACTAGTGTTTCCCCTTTTCACAGCCTAAAATATTGTTCCCATTTCAGACAGAACCAGGACAACCTGACAACTTGGGAGGATGCCGTCCTCCCACTCCACCGAGAACGTCAGCAAACAGCAGAATGAGAATTCAGTTTCCGGGGAGGAAACCTGCTATTTCACAGGATAGAAACAGACAAGTCCCCAGACGAGTCCCCAGACCCTCTGAGAGTCACCCTGGGTCTCCGAGCTGACCCAGTCACTTCCAGCCCATCCAGTGCTCGACAAAACACCCAGCCATACGCACTTCCAACCCTGACGAGCCTCCCCAACACCTCGCCAAGTGAGCTAAGATTGACGACGTGGGAAAAGAAACCAAACCGACACAATCAGCAGCAGAAGAAAATCAGCAACAATAACGCCACCCCTCTCCCCCCTCCCCCCCCAAAAAAAAGAAAAAAGGAAAAAAGAAAAAAAAGAAAAAGAAGAGCTGAGAGTAAATTCCGACTAGCCTCAGTCAGTTTCTAGGAGTACCAGTGGAAGTAAACCCTTAAACCGCGTCTGTAGTTCGGTAAGGCACTACGAGGGAATGATGTAAAACTAAGACTGTGACAGTTGTAATGGCTGTGCTGAGGAACACACCACAGAGAGAAGGCAGCATCTGCACGCACACGTGCACACACACACACACGCACATACCTGGACGATCACATTTGTTACACGCCTACGTTATATCACTTTTCTTTGTGCAATCACATTGAGGAATAGTCTATTGGTATCATTGAAGTTCAACACAAAACAGTAAAAAGGGCATATGACCTGTATAGTGCTACATTCTACCGGGGTGGGGGGCAGCTAAAATGTCTCCTCCTATGCTAAAACGGCTAGGGATTGAAAAGGAAAATTTCCAAATAAAATAAAATGAAACGCAACTGAAACCCAACATACAATATTAGAGATCTCGTTTAGGAATAACATTTCTCAGGGATTTATCCAGTGTGTTCCAGGGAAGGGAGAAACATCCCCATTGCTTCTGCTCTCGACCAGTGCTGGATAGTCTGTTTTGCCCAGGTGTGTTTAAGCACAGCAGTGCTAGATCCAAATTTAGAGCACTGGGATAACATTTTCTTCTCCTCCCTCCCTCCTCCCTTACCCACTTTCTATTTCCAGAAAAAACACAACAACCAAAATCTCATGTATGCTTTGGGATACAGAGACCATTGCAAGGATGGGGAATAAACCCTGTGAATTACTGGATAAATCCCTAATCCATATACCCATTGGATTAAAAACCTAATGGATTTAATTTTAGGTGTTCTGGACAACATATTTCTATATGTAGCTCACTATTGGATGAAAATAACCTTTAAAAGTCTATTGGTGAAGTTCTTCAAAAGACAGGACCCGCTGGAGGGTCCTTCTGCTTCTCTCTCTCTCTCTCTCTCTCTCTCTCTAGTTTGGTGCAGAATGGTTGGTTTTTTGTGTTTGTTTCTTTTTTTTTTTTTTTCCTGTTCTTTTTTCCATTTTCTTTTTTTTTTTTTTTTTAAATAAAAAGTGTAGAATTGGTTCTCCCCCTTCTCTCCTGTTTCTCGTTTCTTCCTTTAAATCTCCTTCGTTCAAGTTTCACACGAGCCTCCCATTGCATTGTTAGTTTGTCATGTTCTTCAGTACAAAAGCAGCCGCCTCACTGCCCCGGGACGGGTGCGTCTCTCACTCCTTATTCCAGTGTTTAGATGTAAGGGTACTGGTTGACCTTGGTGGGGCTCAGTGGGTATCCAGTGTAGACTGTGGAGGCTGGAGAAGCACTGATATAGGTCTGATGGGCAAACTGAGCCTGGTACTGGCTCGGGTGGATGGTGGGTGAGGGCAGAACCCGTGGGCCCATGCTGACAGGGACCTGGTGGACGATGCTGGCGGGGTAGGTGGTGTGCTGCACGGCGTGCCGCGCTGACCCTTGGGAGGCCACCAGGTGTGCGACGGTGCCCGTGGAGCCCAGGGCGGCGGGGGCGGTGTATGTGTAGAGGTGGGGTTGCGTGGGCAGGTGAGCAGCGGCAGCCGCGGCCAAGTGAGGATGAACTGTACCATGGCTGGGGCTATTGTGTGGGAAAGAGGACGGGGCCTGAGCTATTGTAGGAGTGATGTAGGCTTGCTGTCTCCGGTGACTCCCTGTGCGGTCGGTCGTGATGTGCTGCTGGGCCTGGATAAAGACAGCAACAGTGATAAGCAGTTACAAGACAAGAGACGGTTCTTCACCTCCTCAGTGGCACCTGGGAGCCAACCTGCAACACCAGGATGGCCTCAGGGAAGTCCCTAGTGCCCCTCTTGACAGCCTCAGCACCCAGCCTTCCCTTGGAAATGGGTGATGGCAAAGGGCTCCTCCCAAGCCTAGGAAGACCCTGTAGTTTCATATGTTCACCAAAATGGCCCCTAAAAGGACAATGGAGTCCCTCACTTGGAGCCACAATCTGCTGGCACAGCTAACATGAAAGTCCAACCTTGGATGCCTGGCTCCTAAGAACATCTTCCACAAATCCAGTTGCTCACAAAACAGATGGCTTTCGCTAGTGAACTCTCTGCTGATGAAATGTGGGGCTCTGAAATCTCAGGGGTATGAAGTTGCCTCACTACTCCTGAAACAGGCACATTTTTTTCACTCAGTTTGGGTCTTTGTGGCTATATTTTCCTCAGTTAATAAAATAACTACTTTATTTTTTAAAGATAAAACCCTTGGCTCCTGCAAGTGCCTGGTACCCTCATGTAATCAGCTATAATCTAGTGGGAGGTGTCCCTGCCAATGCAGGGGGTTGGATCTAGGTGATCTTTAAGATCTTTTCCAACTATGATTCTGTGACAACTACTCTAGAACAGGCGATTGTTTGCAGAGGGCCAGGAGCAACGTACTTTTTCAGGGACGTTCCAAGATTTTTTTTTGCACCACACGATAATGTCAAGGAGTTTTCCTGGTCATCTTCTAGTCAGACTATTGAATAACCGATAATGTAGATATTAGAAGGCAAGAAGGGCAATGCTCCATGTTATTTCCTTCTATTCTTCCAAGCCCTCTCATCCTCTTTGTAAGCGCTCCCTGCACTGTCATTGTGGTCTGAAACAGGGCAGCCACACACTTCCCCCACTCTTGGAAACAACATCTCGCCTACTTCCTCCTTTTTCATTCACTTTTATTTCATGTTTGTTTACATTTAAAAATTTCAACTACATTTTGAGGGGGAGGGGGCTCAGGGAGGGATTCTTCTCCCCAGAATTTTATCTTAAAAACCCAAACCAGTTCTGCCTATATCTCGGTCTGGATGCAAACCAGCACTATCCTCTGAGCTCTCCAGACTTTCTCCTCTTAAAGCACTGGAAACTGTGCTGTAACTTCCCTACTCTTATTACCTCACCTCAGGGTAGAGCGAGGCCCCAGGTGCAGTATGTGTAAAGGGCATTATTTACTGAAGCTCCTGGGAAGCTCCCTGGGTGTTTTGATCACAGACATCTTGAGAACTGCATGCTGCCAAGTAATGAGGTTTGCCCAGATCTCAGCCCAGGTTTGTCACAGGACTGCTCAAACTCATTGCACAGGTCATGTATAGGCACAGAGGCTCTGCTTTACCTTGTCACATCTAATGGGGACTTCTCTCTCAAGCCTATAGCTGGGCTGATGCACTCCCTTCACTAAGAAGGTACTTTCCTCATGGTCACTTACAGCTAAGGAGAATTCAGTCCTTCCTACACTGTCCCGCTCTACTCCTTTGTGTCTGAGCCACTGCACCTTCTCTCTCACACAACTCCCACTCACACTGTTAGATCATCTAATTCCAAAACACATGGTAAAAGTACCACCATTCAGGGGTAGGATCTGCACTACCTCTACTGCCTGAGCAGGAAGATCAAGGTTTGCAGTGAAGCTGAAACCAGTCGATCAAACTCAACATGGGGCCCACCTATCATTAGACTGGAAAAGAGGAGGAGTGGTAGGTTATGGCTGGGTGGCACACCACCAAAATTAGTCTTGGTTGACTTACCTGACTTAGATTAAGAGGCTGCTGCTGCTGGAAATGTGCTCCTGGTCGCTGCTGCCTATAGGCAACGGCTCCAGTCGAGCTCCCTGAAGAGTGACCGCTGGTGGAGGTCACGGTGCTGGAGGACTTGGACTTGTAGGAGGATGAGTGGTGACTGGTGGTGACTGTGCCAGGAAAGGAAACACATTTGTAGCTTACATCACATTCTTTAATTGCTCACCCTACCTTTTCCTCACTGAATCTCCTCCAGAGTGGTTTTTGTGAGGAGACATACAACAGAAGCAGGATAAGAAAATGATTACTCTTAATTAACAGCATATCTCAGCAGTGCTTCAAATACACGGCCAACCTGTTATCCTAGAGGCAGACAAGCAGACCCAGTATCTGGACCCAAACTGGGCCCTGAGAAGGCTTTACAGATCCTTCAGAAGTGAGAAACTGTTCTGCCAGCAGAACTGTATGATGCAGGTACAAATCCCAAGGAAAGGAAGGAAAGTACAATGTGCACAGCACAAAAAAAGCACTAGCCTGGCTGACCTCATGGTGAGTAGGAAGGGAGGGAGAAGGAGCTAGTGGGGAGCTCACCCTCTGAGCCTTTGTGTTCACCAGCAGTGCATCAAAAGAAAGGACTGGCAAGTAGCTCAAAGCCAATTGCTTTGGGCCAGATTTCCACCATAAACCCCTTTTCAACACACTGTACTACCTAGCATTGTGGAGGCTCTGGATGAGCAAACCTCCTCAGTCCATAATGAAGACCCTGGGGAAATGTTTTGGTTTTTTTTTCCCAGAAACATCAACAAGTTTGGATGAAAATGCACATGTGTTTGCAATCCCGTACCCATTTTACAGTAACCTATGGAAAAGCAAGGCAGAAAAGGGTCACACTTGCATTTGGGAGCCTTTCATGTCAAATGTTGAGCTAAAGGCTGCATTCTGTTCTTGGGTTTGTACAGAAGTAACTGGGAACTTGCCCCTGTGACTCCTGAGGGTACCAGGGCACCTAAACAATGCAATATGGCTCCCAAGAACAGATGTGTCACTTGAGAGAAGGGCAGGAGCACAGTTTCTTTTGAAAACAAAACAAACAAACAAACAAAATGAAACCGAACAATGAGATTCTTCCAACATAAATCATTTATTTCTTACTAATTTTCTTGACGGAAGAGGTGCAGTTTACCTGGAGCCAGGCTATCGCACTCTACCAACACCTCACTGGCCTGGGTTTTCAGTGGTGGCACGATGATCGTTCGAGGGTTCCCACTGCAGTGAGTCTCTGGAACCCCTTTGGTGTCGTAGGTGTTCCCGTTATTCTGCCCTGCGCGGTGCTGCACGGCGTAAGGGCTGTTGTTGCTGGAGGAGTCGGAGTAGGGGGAGTCATGCACGGTGACACAGCTGATGACGTTCTTCCTTTGCTTGGACAAGGTGCTGAAACACAAGCACACAAGTGGAAAGTGTGAACGGGCAACAATCGTCTCGGAAGCCACCAGAAGACTCTGCCAGCAGCAGACTGGCTCCGTAAAGGCAAAGCACACCCTGCAGCCCTCCACCAGATAGAGGATGCTTAAGTCAAGTCCCAGGCTTCGAAACTCACTCATTGCTATTCCAGGAAAGCCTTCATGGAGGTCAAGCAGTGAGTAAGACATTGTGGATAGATCTTATATTCACACTGCTTAGAATAGCACTGAACCAGACTGCAAGATTTATTTTCAGACTGCTTTATGTGTATGTGTGCAGTAGAAGCCCAGCAGTTACACTATGTTTTGTTACAAGTCTCACCGCCCACACAAAAACGTGGTAGTTTCTCCTAGCCTTCCAGCAATCATTTAATAATAGATGCTATGACTTTTCGTTATTAAAACCCATGAATCTACAAAATACGATCCGTTCCATTTACAAATACGGTACAATGGGCATATAGTCTCAATAAGCATTTGAAGCTGAAGAATGAAGGAAGAAAAAATGAGCAAAGTATGTAAAGCTTTTAGTTTTCTTTCTCTGAATAATCATTGGGTCTCCTGACTCTAGCACGGATTATCAAGGTCCTGCTGCAGCTAATCTATCTATGACATCAAAAAAGTGATTAAAAAGGAACATCAACACTTCCAAGACTAGAGCTAGAAGTTCATTAGACTGGACTGCATGAGTACAATTGGGATTTACTCTGCTAATGTGTCTAATTATTCCTGATGATTTCTCCTTCCTGTTATGAGCTTGCTTAGGGAGAAAAGAGAGCGAGAAAGAGGACGAAGGAAGGGGGATGGTGAAGATTTGCTTAAATGGCTCACATCCTTGACAGTGCACAGACCTTGACTACAGAAAATAGCTGCTATGTTTCACTGATTGCATTATGTTGTTATGGCAACTGAAGTTTTTAAAATGATGAAAAGAAATGGATAGCACATAAAAAGCTAAATAATTAAGTTTAATGGTGGAAACAGCCCCAACAGGAACAGAAATACTATGGAGAAAAAGGAATGCATCTCTTAACTTCTTGAGTGTGCACTAAAAAAGACTCCCTATCCCATAGAGTTTCCTCTCCATTCTCTCACTCTGGTCAGTCCAGTCCCGGAAACAGCTGGTTAATCTGGTCTTAGTCTGTGATGGAGACACTTGTTCTCAAGTCTCAGCACCAGTTCTTACCATGGAAAGGTAGAGCAGATACTGAGAACAGTTCCCGTCCGAGTTTCCTTATTTGCTTTTCACAGTGCTAATGGAGCACTGGTGGGTTGCCTTCAATTTGTCTGTCCCAAAGCCATCAGCGCTCACAAGCTGCAACTCAGCACCTCTCTCCCAAGACTTGTAACTGAAAAGCTATCATCTCCTCCATTTGAGAATGCCTTGGGGGGCTGCATTCACAAACAAGTTACCATCACACAGACTTTCCCTGGGCTACCATCGCAGGATCCTGGTGTGCCCTGAAAAGGACTCAAGACTGTGTTGTTCTATGCACAATGAAAAATAAGTCTCAAGTAGCTCCTGCTATCCTAAAGTATTGACACCCAAACCAGGGCAGATGATAGAGAAGGTGGCAAAGCTATTGGACAGCAATATGGAGGCTGAAAGCAATCCTTGCAGGGGCAGGGATCTTTTTGATGGGGAAGGTGTACAGAAATGGACCCTTCTGTATTCTGGCTTTCCACAAGGATCTGGACGTCCTTAGATTAGAAACAGAAAGAGCATCAGAGTATCTTAGATGGACAACTACTGTATGTGAAAAAAGATGTAGCAGTTTGGACATGGTGCTACAAAAGAAGAGTAGTAAGCCAATAAAAATGACGAATATTGCATCAATATTCCTCTCTCTCTTCAGTAGAAATGCCTGTAATCACACATTTATGAGTATCCATGCTGCTTGCCATTTGCAGCTACACTTGGCTGCCAGTTGGGAAGAGATATATATTCTCTACCTCTGACAGTTATTGCATTTTATAAAGAAAAATCAAGTCACTAAAGAGTTTTCTGACAAGTGATAAGGTCTAGCTATTCTTTTACAGTCCCTTCCTTACATAAGTGGCTGAGTTGCTGAACTGGAAATACTTGCTCTTGGCTGACACTTGACATGGGAAGGCTGAGCTGTATAACTGGAAAGGTATTTTTCTGTGTAAGCTGTGCTATTTATTGTGTTAGAAAGGGCATATTTTTCACCAGTTAGATTGAGGGCTTGTCAAAGCAGGGACCATGAGGAGTCTTTTCCCTCAAAGTCTTACAAGTCCTTGGTTACAATGAGAAAATCAAGTAAATATGTTGGTTGAAGAAGTAAGCGACCCCAAACCCAAACTTTTCCACAGAAAGGGAGCACAGTAGAATAATAAATGCATTTCATGGATGCGTAACAAAGAAGGGTCAGAGCTATGGTCCTGCCAAGCCTTATGCAAATTACTTAGCACTACCTGTATGTGTCATCCACCAAAGTCAGCTGGACTATTCCAGTAACAGAGCTAAAGCTCATAGGTAAATATTTGCAGGATTAGGGCCTAAGTGATTAGCCTCTCGATTCAGCAGGCTGCATCATTTCAAGTGCACAAGGTGTCCCATCAAAAACAGCTGCATTTTTGTCTTTAGGAAAGGTAATGACTGTGGTTAATGTCAGAGCATGCAGAGAAGTTGGTTGGGACTTCTCACACTGCCCAGAACTTGGCACCTACTGTACCACAGCCTGCCCAAGAGATTAAAGGTGGGAATTCCCAAAGCATCAAAGGCCCAACTCGTGCTGAAAATCACTTGATTCACAGCGTTAGAGATACACTTTACGCCAGAATGGGGGCTTTTGAAAACTCAACCCAGAAGAGCTAGCACTCCCCTGAGCTTGTGTCCATTTCTGGAACACTTTGTTTTGACCTGATCTGGTCAAAAAGGTCCCTGTGCACTGGACGGGAGACCCTCAAAGGTCCTTCCCAGCCCCACACATTCTATGATTCTATGATTCTCTCTTCCACAAGCCTTCCCGCTAGCCAGGTACTGTCCTCCTTCCAGCTCTCTCTGAGGACTCAGCTTCTCTCCCCACCTCACAGTAATGCTGGAGTTTTCTGCGTGAGGTCCAGGCTGATGTTTCCCCTTCCCCACTCACAAACTCTCAGGACTGAGAGCTTTGTACCTGTTGACACAGCACTTAACCTCCTCAGCAAGTGCACTGTATTCCTGTAACTCAGCCACAGCTTTTGGGGATGTTTGTGCTTACACAGAAAAATACTATTAAAATTGTCCCCTTTCTATTAAACTGACTTCAAGCCTGGTAGTTGCTTTCCCTCCTGCAAGCACAGCAGCAGCATCATACGTGACTTAGCAGTGTTGAGAGTCGGCATGTGTTCCATCTACATGCACCAAAAAGCAATAAGCCAGGAAGGCTTTTTAACCCTTACTGGCTGGAGCTGCATCCTCCCTTTCAGAACAGCAGTTGGAAAAATCTGCATTGCTTTCTAAGTTTATTATTAGCTTATGAGTGGTAGCCCATTCCCACCTGGTCCTGAAGAGTTTGTTCTCACACTTGGACACAAAACAATTCACACTGGACCAATGTGCAGACAACAGAGCGTGACTGTGCCTTCAAACTCTAATATATACCAGCCTCATAAGGCCACAGTGGAGACACAGATGTGGGTCCCGATTACACAGAATCACAGAATGTCCCTGGTTGGAAGAGACCTCCAAGATCATCCAGTCCAGCCCTAGTCCTAACAGTGCAAGCTCGCCTCTAGAAAACATCTCTAAGTACCAGGTCCACATGCCGTTTAAATGCATCCAGAGATAGTGATTCTACCACTGCCCTGGGCAATCTATTCCAATGCCTAACAACCCATTTGGTGAAAAAATGCTTCCTAGTAGCCAATCTTAACCTCCACTGGCCCCACAGCAAGGAAAGATCTCATGGGAAAGTCTGATGGAGAAAGGAGAAGATACTTTGTGCACAGGCACAAAGCAAGAAATTAAGGTGGGCACCTCAGATACTGTCAATGGAAAGGTGCCGAAGGCAGGCGTTGAGAATGAAAAGTGAGAGAAAATTAAGGAAAAGAAGATGCTGAATTAGGTGTTAAAACAGCATTGGAACCATCTAAATAGCCAAGGACAAGGACAGGGAGAACAGCTCTTGTAACAGTGCAACTTGAGATGATTTCTTCTTGCTGAAGGCCCAGTCCAAAAGCTTGGTATGTTGCATGAACAGTATCATTTTTCCCTGAATATCTCAAGTTACAACAGAATCCCAGAAAAGCAAATGGAGTCTAGTAGGGACAATTCTTCCATGTGTGGTTCACCCACAGATATACACACCTTTCCAAGTGGCTGACACTAGAGTAACAGAGGCCCTCTGCTATCAAGGTCATCACAGATGGCCTTCTAAGTTTGAGGGAAGAAGAAACCCATTCCATAACTGTGCCTTTTCCCATGGCACGTTAGCTTTACATCACATCACAAAAATTCTCTTCCAGGTCCCTGAAAACTTAATAACATGCAACCTTTTCAGCTTGCTGCTTCAGAATAATCCACCTATTCTAGGAAAGAAGAGAGTCAGCCAACAAAACCTCACACTACAACTGCAATCGCTCTCTTCATGTTGAAACCTTATGCCATGCGTAGCTCACTGTTGAGAACATGCCCCCTTCTCTTCAGCTCAGCCTCCATCTCGACCTGTTAATCTTCTCTCACCTTCTTTGTGAATTTGTGATGGTAAGAAATATTTATCAGGTACTACATTGAGGCCATTTTATTTGGCTGTACAGCACATGCTGTAGCTATTTAAGTCACATAAACTGAATTGCTTAGCAGGTTGTGAAGGTTCTGCTGCTGAAGGTTTGTTGAGAGAGCTACTGTCTGTATCTGTTATTTTAAGTATTAGTTGCATGTCCGTGTGTCTTCTGGAGATGGAAGGCAGTAATCTTTTTACCAGATGACTGTGGTTAGTCAACATATTGCTATGCAGAGTCAGCATG